TCACCAGAGCATGTCCCAACGCTCCTTGATCAAAGTGTGCAGCGTGCATTCCATAACGCTCACAAAAGCTTTTCACCTCTGGCCAACTCCAGAAGGTAGGACTTGAGAGCCCTTCCTGAGAACCATCCACCAGATCCTCAGCACTCAAGACCGTCTTGCCGTTCTGAGAGAAATCTTTCCCTATGAGTTCAGGGTCCCCAGGGCTTTCCATGCCAAAAAAGACAGAACTCCCATTGATGACTTCAGCAGTTCCACACCTTGAATGCACCGCCACGTCATATAGGAAAAGCATCTTCAGAAGTAAAACACCATCCTTTTGAGCTAATTCTTGATGTGGCCAAGGAAGACTTTTTAACCCCAACCGTTCAGGTCCACAGCGTCGGCGTAATACAGGTGGACCACCGTCTTCACCTCTCAACCTTGACACTGTCCTGCATGGAGGTCCTCCCACCACAGCAACCACCTTTCCTTCAGCCGCCAGATGCAGAAGATACTTCCAGACGCTCGAATTATGTAGGTCACCGCCTTTTGTCAAATCCAGCTCCAGTACCTCCACATCCCGACTGGGAAAATGCCATTTTTGTTTTCCCGAAAACAGGTGTACCACCACCCTTTTTGCTCGTGCCAGCCGTCTCCTTTTATGACGGTTGAAAGGCAACGCCGCAATATCTCCACGTGGCAACAGCTCCATCAGCATATTTTCTGGTATATCCCCATAATACCACCGAAGAAATCTCCAGCATGCCTGGACGAACTCCTCCTCATTCGCTGACGCTGTCCGCGCTGCGCTTTGCAACGACGTTTTTACAGCCACCTCGTTGTCCGTATTCGGACACCCTTGAACCATACGTGCCACCTTCAAAGCTTGCTTTGGTGAGCACCAATCCATTTCATCAATGATCTGAAGCGCCACCTCCTTTTCCAAACAAGGGCACCCATTCAGATCACGAACGCGAAGTTCCCCCAGAACAGGATGTGAGGCTGTGCACTTGCCACCACGCCACTGAACTCTGAGACCAACCAAGGCGCTCGCTTTGCCAATTGGCACTAGTGGATCTACCATTTCAGGAGTTACCAGGGTCCCACCTGGGGTTATACACATCTCCCGAGATCCAACAGCTAAAGACACCAACACCTTTTGCTGCGGAAGCTGTTCTCCAGGACGAAGTGATCTGAGAGGATGCGATGCTCCCGAGTCCAACATGCCCATTCCCGAACACTCATTGGTGTCAGAAACCCTGGCCACATGTAGAACGCATACTCCTCGGCCTTCTCCCTGCTTCGGCAACAACGTGGCATCCGACGAACCGACTCCACAGTCCGCCCTTCCATTCCTCCATTGAGAATGGGACCAAGACGCACGCTGCCTTTCAGCATGCAAAACCATTTTTTCAGCTGTTTTGTAATCCATAACCAAACAGCCATGTTCAAACCACAAGAGCTGGTCCAGCGAAGATTTTGCACCCACGTGACACATCCCATTGATCACCGTGAGGTTCGCCCCAAACTCCAAAATCAACCAGAGAGGGATAATCAGGGGCCCATTGTCTTCCCTAATCAACGTCCCTTTCTCTGTAATCCTCATTGCCACACCACCAAGCGCGCTTTGCACCATAACAGTAGTGTCGGGTAAACATTCCCATGGAAAAAGCGTCCGCACAAGATGCGTAGCAGCCGTATCCACCAACGCCACTCTCCCTTCCTGCTGAAACAATCCAGATCCACATAACATTCGAACACTGGGATCCCCGCTCGAGGCTGACTGCGCTGATGACAGCTTCATAGATTTCAGCACTTCCAACGCTTCAGCAAGGACTTGATTGGGTGTTGATGGTGATGAGGGACTTGCAGAACCTTTATCCAATCCCGCACTAGCCGTCTCATCTCCCCCTTCAGCTACCTCTGCCTTTTTGGCATTTCCCCATTTCGCACCTTTGCCGCCCTTTCCCCCTTTGGGAGAATTCCCTTTAGATCTGCTTCTCTCAGGGTTTGAGTCCACGAAGGAACTTGCACCATCCTTATATGGACATTGCGGCTGCAAATGGCCAACGGCCCCACACTCAAAACATCTTCCTCGCTCAAGGGAGTCTTTGTCATGGCGGAATTTACAGCGGGATCCGAACTTGCAACCTGCATCGGTCTTCCCATATATCCAACAGAAAGGACGTTCACCATCTCCGCTGTACCTTTTTCCTTTCCCTTTGCCTTTGTCACCCTCCTCTGTCTCGTCACCAGTTCCCTTTTGGGCCTTATTTAACCTGGCCCTTTTCTTGGCGTCCGAGTCCTGCTTCACCTCTTGTTCACCAGCACTATGCAATAGCAGTTCAAACTCTGCCTGCAACATTTCAGCTAGTGGTGTCGCAGTTTCAGAGGTCGGCGAGTAGTCCACCCCCAATTTCTCCCGAAAGGATGCCACTCTGAAATGCACCGTAGGGTGTTTTGCCAGCAACGCGGATGATAAAGCATCCAATCCCTTGATAAGCAAGGTAGCGTCTGGCTCGGATGCTCGCAGCTCCCTTAATCGGGAACGCCATTGCGCCCATTGTCGCACTCCCTTAATAGCCTCTGAGATCGAGGTTGCTGAAGATGGTTGCACCAAGAAGTTCAACATTGTGCTGCGCTCATTTGCTCCACCTGGTTGGTAGACCGTCAGCAATTTGTAAAATATCATCACCGACCCCAACATTCGAGTGGAAACAATCTCGGTCTTCAATCTCTCCGGGATCGCCTGTAGCAGCAAAGACACCGCTCTCTGCTCCAACAAAACATGCGCAGTTTGAACCACTTTGAGCCCTTCTAGCTCAGCCTTGATGCCCAACCTTTCCAGCGGAGAAACACTCAACCATTTGGCATACGCTTGATACGCCTTTGAATAGACGCATTGCCACCACACTCCTCCTGTATCTGTCAGCGAAGACAACATTGGTTCGATCATTGCGATCCAATCACCCAGTGCTGTCGGATTGCTTGGTGTGTAGTCTGCCAAAGTTGGAAGGCTCATCACATGCTTCCCGAGAGCCTCCGGACGTTCGGTTCCAGAACTATCACCAGTGATTGGCGTACCGCGTGGCACCACTGCTCCAGGAGGTAAGCTGACCCTTCCACCAGGCCCTTGAGGTAGTCCATGTCCTATACCAGGCGTAACAGCTGTGAGCGGAACCTTTTCTAATTCCAACTTCCCAGCGACCATTTTCCACCGATGCGGAACCTCATCCACCATTGTATATCCACCCGATCCTGCTGAGTTCTCTTGCATTGCAGTTTCCCGAGCTGAAACAAAACCGGGCTGGTTCCCCGCAGGTGCGACAGAACCATCAACGCCTGATGGCACGGAAGTAATCGGAACATGTGTTAAACCAGGTGGTCCACCTGCATATCCACCACTTGCAGGACCTCCCGTGGGGTAATTCAATGGAGGCAATCTGGAGGGTTTCTTCCCTTCAGCCACATGCATCATTGGCACTTCTTTTTCGTCCTCCACATGAACATCCCCCTTCCTGGACCCAGGCAAGGATTGAAGATCACAACCCTTTGGCAGGTCGTAGCCCTCAATAGGCAGCCATGTCCCATCAGGCAACACAGTCCAAAAACCACCCATACCATCCGTGTAGAAAACTTGTCCTGGCAGGTACTGCTTCTCTGGAGTCATTCCTAGAGGATATGCCGTGTTTGCGTCCACCACTCCAGAGCTCCGTGCCCTTGAAGCTGACCCAGATGCAGCAGAGGTATAGCTTTTTTCCTCCACCCGATGCAACCTGTTCCCCAGCTCCTTTGTCTGCACAAGCAACTCTTTCAGCGCACGCTTCACCACCGCCATATCTTCAGATTGCTCTTCACCACTAACATCAGGAATGAGTTCTTCGTCGGCTTGCACTCCACCAATAGTACCTCGTTCCATTTGTCCCATTAAGCCTGACGATGGTCTCTCAACAGGTGCAGGTTCCTGACCCAAAAGATCTTGCAGCGAAGGCGGTCTTCTCGTACCTTCACCACTCCTGTCCCCTCCGCTCGCGGGAAGACTTGCCGGCCTTGACTGCCTAAGTCTCATTTCTTCTTGAGCCCGCTCGCTCCAGAAAGGATTTGCTGCTTGAACCGGAACCACTTCGTTTTCCACCTGAGGCGTTGGTTGTATCATTGCAACCTCCCTACCATCTGTCAGTGCTTGTACCATTTGTTGTCGATCTTCACCCCCATCACCACGATTTCCTTCGGCTTCATTGGCCGTTGGCGACAGTCCAGGCTCAGAGCGACGCCGCATCATGTCCATGGCGTTAAACAAACGAAAAATCTTTACCAATCCGCAGGAAGCCTAATTTGGGCTCATAACCTACGGGGGGCAACCGAAGGAGGACAGGGAACAAAACAGTCAACCCCAACAGAAGCCCTTAATACCCCTGGAACAACCAACAACCGAACAGCAAGACCCCAAACCAAGGGCACACTTTTTACGGAATCTTCGACCGCTTTGGTCATGGCTTGAGCCAAAGAATACCGGGTTCATTGACCCTTCAACTTCCAATACCAACTCCTTTCTACAATACCAATTGCAGCTCCGCATAGGGCTTCATGGCTTAAAGCCCTGAAGCCTTTCCTATAGAGACCCCTGAGCACTTAAGCCCCAAAGCCCTTCGCTTCTCAAGCCCTTAGGTCCGAAAATCCTGCAGACCCTAAACCCCAACCGCAAACAGGCATCGCACACAAGGAAGCCGCAAGCCACACTACGTTGAGCTACATTGAGCAGAAAAGCCTGCCAGTGCTGATGTCTGGAGAAACTGGACGGAACCACCCCCCTCCCCCCCCCACCCATCTGGCACGAACTCGAAAGAGAAACGCCGGAAGACATGCGGCAACAACGCGAAAAGACCTGAAGACACATGGCAACAACTCCAAAAGACCTGAAAACAAGCAAGCCCGCGGGTCAATTGGTAGGGCGTTAGCATGAACAAGGCTGTGGAACAAGAGTGAAAGAGATGAATGGTGCGGTTTCTCGCTCGCCGCTGATGCTGGTTTGCCCCACGCTTGCAGACACCAAGGCGGTGGGACCCGCACCCTTCGACACGTGCCGCCAGCTGCCAGGTACTTGTGGGGCCGGGTTTTAGCCTTGGCGGATGTGGCTCAGCGCAACGACCTTAATTCCTCATGCTCCCGCAATGCGTTCTTGGAGCGCCTCCGCGAGGAGGCAAGCGCCGCCGCAAGGCTATCGCTACCGTGGACCGACTCCAGCGGTGGAGTGAGGGCGAGCGCGCCTCACTGCATGTGGCAGGACAGACATGTGGTTCTGGCTCGCTCACCCCGACAGCTTACGCCGGAGCAAAAGCATGAGTTTGCGGTGGAACTAGGCTTTGACCGGAAGGCCTGCAACGCCTTGCTTGCCACTGGCCTGTGCCCTGACCACCTGAACACGGCAGCGGCGCTTCGAATCTTGCGCCCGACCCAGCCCACGCCGGATGTGGCCTTTGATGACCTGCTGAAAGTGCTCCGGATCTGGTTGGCAAGGCACTTCGGCAGTTGCCTGCTGACACTGCCCCGGGGCCATGTGGCCTGCGAGTGCAGCACCTTCGGGTTGCGCTCAAGTCGCGGGTGGGGTAAGGCCGACGATTGCCGTCGGGGAAATTATGATGGTCCGCGATGAGGCTCGGGCTGGCCTCGACCTGACCATCTTCTACCTAGATGATGGCGTCATCGCAGCAGACGTCGCCCCTGGCCTACTTGCAACGTCGGGGAGCGGCCGTTGGCCTCGCCCCCAACTTGGCAAAGTGCGAGGTGATTGCGGTTGGTCGACTTGACCCGAGTTCCCTCGTGCTCGCCTACCTGCTGAGCTTCTTCGTGGGCCAGATGGTTTTTGCCGGTAAAGTGGAACCTTGCTGTGCAGAGACGCGGGGGATGGAAGAGTGCAAAGTCAGTCATGCGGTATGAGAAGTCGGCCCGCCTGGGAGCCGCCTTCCAGGAGCTGCCGCTGAGACCATTGCGGGTGGTGCGAAGAACATCTAGGGGATGTCGTCCTGGGCCGGCTGCTAGCAGAGCCCCCTCCATGATGCCCAAACACCGCCGCAGGTACTTCCTCGGCGCTGGAGGAGTTAGCAGAAGGTGGAGGACTTGCGCCACCTTGCTTCAGCTTTTCAGTCGCAAAGGATCGCGCAGGTGTCACCCGAACCAGTCAGACTCCGTGGGGAGTGGACGGTCTCCCTACTGCCGAACCGCAGAGACTTGCCGTCGGGAATGCTCCACCTTCCGTGGTGCTTGGAAAACCCCGAGTCAAGCAAGCTTTGGTTTTTGCCCGCGCTGCATCGCCTGCTTCGTATGTCCCATGTGCGTGCTGTCACGATCGACTTCTGCCAACACGGATCTCCGTGGCGTAAAAGAACCAAGCTTGTTTTCGGCAACCTTGACCGGCAGGACACACTTCGCCTATGTCATCGCCGATGTGCAGCGCCCCCAGGTTGGTGCTCCAGGACTGGGCCGGCACGCACGCCTTTCAGGACGCGCGCCTGATGGGCGCCCTCGAACCGCCGTGGCCCTGCCCTATGCAGCCTTGCTCTGCGCTGACTTGTCGTTCGTCTTGTCATCGCCATATTTGACTACTGATCCAACAACTTTGTGGTTCACATCCTGATTTGGGGGATGACTTGGGAGGTGTTGGGGTCTCTTTGAGTGTTCTGAGCTTCTGGCCTCCTTCGAGAAGTTCCTCCCTTGCATGAAGGCAATGTTTGAGAGCTTCTACGGCTAGTCGCTCCCTCAAAGAGTTCGTCTTTGGAAGCATCTTACTTCTGTTCTCTTAGTGTCACCTCAGCAAGAACCCAGCCAAAGACTCGAGCGCTCCACCGCCACAAAAGGTGTGTTTGCAGGAAGTATGCTCTGTTGGTGGGCGGAGCGGGCAGGGAATGCTGAAGCCGGGTCTTCTGCTGCCTCAGAAACGAGATTGGCCAGTCTGACCCGCGCCCAGCCGATGTGATTATCCCCTTTCCAGCTGCGCTTGATATCGCCGTCACGGCGCCACAGCGGCCGGAAACCTTGACTGCTGCATCACAGGTGGTGGCGGCTTCAGAGGCCAAGCTTCTCCAAGTTATCTAAGTGTACCTGTGATTGTTCGTGCTGTTGAAGTTGAATTAGAATCAGAAGGCCGTTAACTCGCTATATTGTATATTAGTAGAAATATTTTAAGGGGCTGCGCCCATGGGCGGGCAGCGCAGGCAGAAGCGCGGGGCGAGCAGTTTCTAAGCATTTTGAGGCCCCTAAACTCCCTTAAAATCTCTAAGCGTTTGAGGCTCCTCAACCCCCTCAAAGTTTCCAAGCATTTTCAGGCCCCTAAACTCCCTTCAAATCTCTAAGCGTTTGAGGCTCCTAGACTCCCTTAAAGTTTCTAAGCACTTTATAAGGCCCCTAAACTCCCTTTTTCCTGCCCCAGGCTTAGACACGTCGCTTATGCCCGCCCTTTGGGGGGCATCATGCTCCTGATGCGCCCCCGGGGTCCCGCCCCGGGAGCCGCTGATGCTCCTGATGCGCGCCTGGGGGTCCGGGCTGGACCCGCTGATGCTCATGATGCGCGCCCTCTGGGGGCCTCCGTGGCGACGCAAAAAACCACGAAAAAAAAAAACCGTTCACCGGCGGCACGCGGGGGTCGGCGGCACTGGCGTCCGGCCTAATTCTGCTTCGCAGAAGGCCAGAGGCCAGCAAGGCTATTCCCGGGACGACCCGGGCTGAAAGGTCCGCATTTGCTCGGTCCTTTGGGGACCTCGCGCTGCCCGATTTAATGGCTACCGCCAGTGCCGCCGACCCCAAATTTTCCAAGGTGTGGGGGGGGGGGGGGGGGGGGGGGGGGGGGGGGGGGGGGGGGGGGGGGGGGGGGGGGGGGGGGGGGGGGGGGGGGGGGGGGCGTTCCCGCCCCCCAACCCATCACCCTTTCTGGCCCCCAACCCCCATGATCCCCATGGACTGGCCCCATTCGATGATTTAAAGGCTCCAGTGCATGCCCCCACCCCCCCCACCCCCCCACCCACCACCCCCCCCCACTCCCTTTGTGCCCCAGGCCTCGAAGCCAATTCGCAAGGGCTCCACCACCCCCCCTCACCCCGCCCCACACACCCCCCCCCCCATCACCCCGTCTGGCCCCCAACCCCCATGATCCCCATCATGGACTGGCCCCATTAGATGATTTAAAGGGCTCCAGCGCATGCCCGCCCCCCCCCCACCCCGCCTGTGCCCCATGCCCTTGAAGCTAATTCTTAAGGGCTCCAGTGCATGCCCGCGCCCCTCCGTTTTCCCCGCCCGCTCCCCCCCCCCCTTTCCATGCCCTTGAACCTAAGCTGAGTCTTAAGTGCTCCACCGAGCCCCCCCCTGAGTAGCCCCCCAGGCCCTCACCACCGCCCGTCCCCACCCACCTCCTTGCAGCCCAAGTCCCAGCCCACGCCCCCGCCCACCCCCTGGGTGAGGGTGGGGGGCACAGGGGTGGGGGGGTGGGCTGGGACTTGGGTGGGGCGGGGTGCAAGGAGGTAGGTGGGGACGGGCGGTGGGGGGAGCTTGAGGGGGCTGGGGGGGTGGGGGGGGTGGGTGGGCAAGGCTTGGGTGGGCTGTGTGGGGCGGCACTTGGGGGGGCGGGTGGGGGAGGGGACGGTGGGGTAGGGCGGGTGGGGGGGTGGGCGGACTTGGGCGGGTGGGGGAGTAGGTGGGGACGGGGTTGGGGGGGGTGGGGGGGGTGGGGGAGGCGGTGGAAAGAGGGGGCGCTGGAGACCGCTCAGGGGGACTTGGGCGGAAGACTCAGCCTAGGTTCAAGGGCATGGAAGGGGGGGTGGGTGGAGGGGGGGGGGCTGGGCCAGAGGTTTAGGGTTTAGGGTTTGGGTTTAGGGAGGGGGGCGGGGGGGTTGGCGGGGGTGCATTGGAATTGGAGCCCTTAAGACTCAGATTAGGTTCAAGGGCATGGAAGGGGGGGTGGGTGGAGGTGGGGGGGGGGGGGCTGGGCCACAGGGGGGTGGGGGGTGGCGGGGTAGCGGGGCAACCGACCCCAGCCAGGGGCGGCGTCAATGCTCCCCTACCCCACCCCCCCCATGGACTGGCCCCATTAAAGCAGGCCCGCTTCGTTTGCTGGCCCCTAGTGGCTCATGGCCCCATCATGGTCCCCTGATCAGATGGGGCGGATCTCCACCCAAAAAACACCCTCAACAGACCGTATCATCCCCTGTAGTCATGTTGTTGTTCCTGCCTCAGAGACCCCAAGAGACCCCGGAGACGGTGTCCCAGATTGCCTAGCTAGCAACATTGGCTGCATCACACATGCTCTCTGTCTCAGCAGAATCAATCAGAAATCGCACCAGCCTACCACTGCATATGAGGGAGGCGCAAGGCCGAAGCGGAGCACAGATGGATATAGATGGATCAGTGTGGGCAAAGAAGAGCGGGCGGGCGAATCGTCTCAATCCAAGCCGTCTCTAGGCCACACAGCGCGGCCGAACCCGTCAACTGCCCCCCCCCCCCCCCTACGCCGGGTCCGCCCGAGCTCGGCGCGGACCGGAGACACGGCGACGCCTGTCAACGACCGAACCGCGCTACACCGAGTCCACCCGAGTGCATGATCACAACAATGGGGCTAACTTTTCCCAAGCGCCTGTAGTCTCCATCACCTTAGGCACGAACCGCACGCCCTGCGCTCAAAGCCGGGCCGTCCAAGTAGTCCAGCCTTGCTTGTGCGAGTGGACGGCCCGGCTTTGAGCGCAGGGCGTGCGTTCGTGCCTAAGGTGATGGATAGTACAGGTGCTTGGGAAAAGTTAGCAGCCAAAGTCTTGCAGCAAATCTCGCGGGCCGTTGCTGCAAGGACCCAGGGTGAGGCAGCTGTCCTGCGCTCCGAGTTGCTCCAGGACCTGTGCGTGGCCGCACGCGGACACACAGCGCGAGCCATTTTCCGCAGGCGGGCCGAGCTGGCAGCTGAAGGCCCCATTGTTGTGATCATGCACTCGGGTGGACCCGGTGTAGCGCGGTTCGGTCGTTGACAGGCGTCGCCGTGTCTCCGGTCTGCGCCGCGGTGTGCTGAGCTCGGGCGGACCCGGCGTAGGGGGGGAGGGGCAGTTGACGGGTTCGGCCGCGCTGCATGGCCTAGAGACGGCTTGGATTGAGACGATTCGCCCGCCCGCTCTTCTTTGCCCACACTGATCCATCTATATCCATCTGTGCTCCGCTTCGGCCTTGCGCCTCCCTCATATGCAGTGGTAGGCTGGTGCGATTCCTCCTTGATTCTGCCGAGACAGAGAGCATGTGTGATGCAGCCAATGTTGCTGTTATCTTATCCTAAGCTAGGCAACCGTCTCCGGGGTCTCTTGGGTCTATGAGGCAGGAACAACAGCATGACTACAGGGGATGATACGGTCTGTTGAGGGTGTTTTTTGGGTGGAGATATTTCTACTAATATACAATATAGCGAGTTAACGGCCTTCTGATTCTAATTCAACTTCAACAGCACGAACAATCACAGGTACACTAAGATAACTTGGAGAAGCTTGAGGACCCATATATCGAACCTGATAGGATCCGCGAACCCGAATGCAGAAAGCAGTCACCTCTCACGTAAATATAACGCAATATAAACGAAACGTCGGTGGCGGGCGGACGGACCACCATCACGGACCACCGCCACGGACGGGACCACACCATGGGACCACCGCCACGGACCGCCGCCTGGGATCACCGCGAGATCGCCGCCACGAAC